CATTACACCGTTGGAAAATTTTTGTTACAAGTCCTTGTTAAAATTTTGATGTAAAATAATAATCAACGCATACATGTGTAGATACAACATATGCCTGCCATGTTAATTAAACTTGAAAATAAAAAATTATTAAAATAATTTAAGAAACATGTTAAAGAAACACAATTTGAACGTATTTTTATATGTGTTTTAAATTACAGAAAAAGAATGTTGATTTCATCTTACAATCTCAACTTGGCATAATTGTACACATAATTAACCTCAAATTACAATCAGAATTAATTTCCTTTAAATGTTGGGTGTTGACGTTCAACACATCCACATCATGTTAAATTAACACAAAAATAAGAGTGGACCGTTTGGGACATGTGAATCATGTTGAATACAACACAAATTTTCCAATAGTGTAACCATCAAGTGGAAATGCACCAAGCCGCTGCTATAGTTGCTGCAAACAGGGGCAATTGTGGAAACATTCGGAAACATTATCCATAAAAATATATGCAAATGCAATTATATTATTAGTTTGGTCGGGAGACTCCATCATCAAGCTACCAAAATAATGATTCTGAATTTTGGTGCTCCTGGGAATTTTGCAGCAAATCTGACCAACTTTTAAAATCCCGTGTACCTAAATCTCTCAAGTCCCATTTCAATCGCGAGGGTAGAAAGTAAGCGATAAGAGGGATGGTAAGGTTTAAAAATTCGAAAAATTCAATTTTTGTTTTTTTTCTACATATTCTGGTAGCGTAATCTTTCAAGATCATTTCCCAGTTTGGTTTTTTAAGAAATTGGCAAAATTGAGCTCGGGAAAGTGAAAAATGCGAGTGCTGGCTGGCAAAAAAGTCCGCGTGCAGGTTCGCCTTATACTATACTTTTTCCCTCGTGTCTAAAAGAGGCCGAAGCAAAAAAAAATCAATGTTTTGCGATTACTGCTGTAATGGAAGCTGATGATCTGGAGACGTAATTATAGCGCGGTCAACTTTTGAGCTTTGTACGTACCAATTTTCTAGCTAAAACTAGTGTTGTAAACTTTGTGTTTTTCACAAAAATATATAAAAATTTAAAAGAAAAAATATAAAAAAATATAAAAATTTTCAAGCTACTATATATACATGTTTAATTAATGAAAAATTTGTTTGTGATTCTTGTAATTTCACGCAAATTCTGAGCCCCGTATAAAACGGACTTGATAAAAATAAAACATAAAACCTTGGCGTGCTCATATCGCAAAGGGGGTGATTGAAAATATTCAAGTCACTTTATGCTTGATCATTTTTATATTGCAATGATAATCATTTTTAAATTAATCACACAATTTAGTCAATTACATTCAAAATTAATTTATATTGGTTTTTTTTTCCGAGTTTACGTATATGGAACAACACGTGGGGCAAGAGATTGGATTAAAAATGTAAATGTTTATTTATATGATTTAAAGCTCGCCAATTAACAAAAGTCCATTTTCTCCCTATTGTTGAAATAATTATCCACAACCAAGCGGAATTTTATTTTTACATGTACGCGCACCGGCAGAATCAACGTCCCTCGGCAGCAAGGTTACGTATGTGTAAGCACTGCACGCATATTTAGCCGCCGCGGGACACATCATTTATGCCGGTGCGTGTACATGTATAAAAAACATTATTGTTTTGCACAATATTTCAAGTCAACGAAAAATCATTTGCATGCAGGTCTTGGAAAGAAGAGAGCAGCTCCTCCTCCGCCGACGCCCAGACCACTTTTGTCGGCCATTTCCACACAGGCTTTAAAACGCATCACCGATTCCGAGGAATCGTCAACATCCGACATAGAACCTTCGAAACCGTCATTAGATATTGGTGCTCTGTCGAAAGCCATCAGCTCTGATATCGACTGCCCAAAAGTTGTTTCCAACATTGGCATCAACCATGCGCAGTCCATGCGTCAGTTGGACCGCAAATTGGAGCTAGAAATTGCACCGTGCAAGTTTGATTGCGGCGTTCAACAGAATTGTCACACTACTGAAGCGAATCCCGAGGCGCGTTCTAAATCAGATTTGGTCAACTCTGATGAGGTCGTTGAAGCAAAAGTGATTACGCCGCCTGTAGAAGCCACCCCGAGAGTAGAGCAAGCTAAAGTAGCAACAAAGAGAGGTAAGCTAGCACATGCTGCCAGTAACTTAACGCTTTGTTCTGTAATTCCAAAACCTCAAAAGAATAAGTCGGTAAAGGTACAAACCTTTACGAAAAAACACGTCCCGTGTTACATATTATATCCGAGAAAACTTGTACTTTCGGAGAAAAACAGATTACATGCTGCTATCCAAAAATGCTGCTCACAAGAAAATGTTTCTACAAGCATTAACTTTGCAAACAATGTTTCAGTTGGTATCGCTACCAAGATTCATATCCGAGATAAAAACAGGTCGCAACTACCCCGAATTTGTCAAAATTCTCAACGTTTTAGAAAGATGAAATAAAACTCTTGTGAATATCGCGGAGCAACAATTTCTTTTGACAATCGTGAGCTTCTCGCGAATAGATTGAGCAAATGCCCATATTGCCCATTTCCAACTGCCAACGTTTACACGAGAGGATATGATTATACAAACAAGCAATTGGCGAGAATACAAACATTGATAAATCTGGATGGCACAAAATTGAACGTGGAAAACATGGAATGTAACGCACTGAAAAAGTACATACAATCAAAAATTATCACATGGCAGCAGTTTTATTTGTCGCGGTAAATATGGTAAGAAAGTCTCAGTACGTAGCTCGAGTTTTCAAAATGACATGACTTTGTTCTCAAATCAAATTACAGAGTTTTTTCGAAAAACCAAGTTTAATGTCAACACAAAGTCGTCGTTTAAATTTAAAATATTCCAAAACACCGAGTTTGTTGGAATTTCCAGCTTACTCTCCAAAATTAGATGGGACAAGTATGACAAGGTGCTACGCGCGCGCGCTCGCAAGTTCCATAATTTCTATAATGAAAATTGAAAATCTCGCAATTGTTTGGAGCAGTATGCGGAAAACAATTTGTACCCTTCGCGCCTTTGAGCACTTTGCAAATATTCGCAATCTCTACGAAACCATTAGATTACAAGTTCCGTAGCCTCTACGGAATCCGTTTCCAGTGACATTGACAAGTTACCTACATTGCCCATTACAAATTATACCGAAAACAAATTGCAAGAGAACAAGTCAAGTATTTTGGAACCACCACCGCCTGGTCTGGTTAGTCGTCAAGAATCGATCGACAGCTGGAATCGTTTCTCAGTGCAGTTGAATTCGATTCTCGAGAATAGAATCGGCCAATTTGTTTAAAACCAAATTGTATGTAATTATACATTCTATTGGAATAAATCTAGATTTGATCTCTAGTTTTTCTCCATTTTTTAGAATATACTCTGATTTTTTCTGCACATCATCTTTCTTTGCCCCAAATTTTTAACTTTACATCATTGATATTGAAACTTAAACATTAATTAAACTAAAATAAAGATTATAATAGAATAATTACCAAAATCAAAAATTTCTGAAAATACATTATATACATGTTTAGAAAATGTCACCTTCACCGACTTGAACCACAAGATGTACATGTTCCTAGATGGCCAAATTTCTCAAAAAGATTTTACATGGTGCTTTTACAAATTTTGTGGGCCACTAGAAATGTGTGTAATAAAATCGGTCAACAGATCAACATCACAAATTGGCGGCAGAAATTGAAAAACATTTTCAAATTATTTAAATTAAAAGTATTTCATTCAAATGTAAAATGAAAGATTCTGCTTGATTTTTACTGCCAATCCATGAAATTATTCTGCTGATAAAGCACAAGCTAAACTTGTTTATAGTGATATAGTTGATGCTAATCTACTGATGACTGTCTGATTGAATCTGCTACTGATTTGCTGGAATACTGCTAGCATTTTGCTTGTCAAGTTTACCGCATTTTTATTCACATCTTTTCAGTAAACTTTTATAAAATTTAAATCTTTTTCAAGATTTGCATATGCATCAAAAAGATTTCATTTATTTAATTTTGAGCTGCCAATTGTAATAAATTTAAAAAAAACATGGAATTTTATTACTTTTTTTTTTTTCATACTTTTTAAATCAACATCAACATTTCTCGACTTGAAAATCAACAAGTTACATAAATAAAACGTAAAGTAAAACTTTTTAAAACTTGGTTCTGCACTTTTATTTGGATTTACACCTAGGCGATATCTGATGTTTCTTTTTGCTTCAATCGGCATCGATACACTTTGATCAATTTTCCTTTTTTTGCTTGTTTCATATTTTGCTAGCTTGAATTTTTTCGGTGATGGTTGTTTTTTGTTTCTTTATTCAAACTAGTTGGACAATATGCACCCCTTCCCAAGCCTCGAAAAAACAACTCGAGTAGACTTTGCGCTTCGGAATCTCTAAAGATACCAAAACATCAAGCAACTCCGCCCTTGGCACCGCCTAGAACTTTAAGCATAAAACGCGACAACCCAAATGTTTTATTACACAAACGTATAAATTCCAAACACGTTAATAAAATATGCTGTAGCACTTTAGTTTTCGATGATTCGTCTTCATTGAATGAATATAGTATTGCTACATTTGAGCCAGAAAGGTCATGTTCAAAATCGAAAGACGACTGTGCATCTTTCAACAAAGATGAGATAAATCAGAAGAAGGTAGTACCAGAAACTATTGACAATATTACAGCCAAAGACGATACGTCTTTAAAATCAAGTCGATATTCAAATTTAAAAGTAAAAAGCAACTTTAATACACAAAATTGTGTGAAACTAATTGATTCAGAAGAAGAAGAAGCTCGTTCAAAATCCAAAGGAAAATTTTTGAGTAAAGATAAATTTTGTTGGGAGAAAACAATATTACTAGATATTGCCGAAAACATGGAAAATCGTGCATCATTAAATTTGAACCAGTGTTTAAGGAATAAAAAACCTACCGTGCTTGATTCCATAAAGTTAAATGCATCTCCAGCGAAATGCAATGTTGATTCCAAAAAAGATGAAAATAATTCTTTAGAACAAGATGACAAAATAAAATCCAAAAATATTGATTCGTGTAATGAAAATGAGAACCAACGTGACAATTTACGGATGACATTGGACGACAGCTCTCTAAAAAAAAAAAAGAGTGTGATCAAACTGGATCGTATGACTGAACCGAAAAGCGAGCGACTAAAACTGTTTTATCCGAAAGATGTGACGTGCGGCGCAGCAGGGGAGAAAAACGATTCTGAGAAAGACAAAAAGATGTGCACGGTAATCTCCACCATACCAAAATGCGAGCGTCTTGATGCTACAAGAGAAGACGGTGCTTTAAATAATATCGCAAAACGTGTCATTGCGGAAAATATCAATCAACTATGCGAGAAACGTCAAAATTATCACAGCGAAGAATCAAGCGGCGTGAAGAATGCTAAACGGACGAGGGTGGTTCGGAGCCAATCCAAGTCGGATGACTTTGAGATGGATATTTTGAAGAGACAGAGACGACATCTCACTTATTTGCCTCCGGAGGATATCGCGCACGCTTTGAACCTCAACGTTCCCGCACGAAATCCAACATCTTTCGGTATTACAAAAAAAAACTGGGAACAAATTGTGACGGGACCGTGCACTGGTCATGCAAGAAATACAGATATAGATGAGGGAGATGAGTCGTATGGTGAATTAATTACAGGTGCATGTTGTACTACCAACTTTTATTTTTACTCTCATTGTCCCTCCTGCAGATTTTTAATTATTTTAGTCTCATGTCTCTTATTACAGCATCTTCAAATGTATACATATATACAGGATGAGAGAATAGCTAAAGTACATATTATGACAATCTGTCTTTTGAATCATCTTTGCGAAAGTGTTGAAGCAAATGCCTAAAACACTTTTTTTATAGTTGAACTCAAGTCCCATCAGAATATTAGGTAGCGACATTTGTGTATCCTTGTCCTTGTCAAGGTCACGCCAAGATTATCTGTATTTTTTTAGATAACAATTTTTATTTTTATTGCGTGGCTTTTTTATTGCGTATTCTTGCATCTTTTAGTTTTTATGAAATTTATGATGAGAAATCACTCTTTAGCACACATCACTTTTGATAAAGAAAATCAGAGTTCAAGTGCGAGAAAACAACAATGTACATGTATAAAAAAGTCAGTTTTGTTTAAAATTAAAATTGTCACTTGTTAAAATGACTTGTAGTGTATAATCAAAAAAAACTAAAAGTTGACAAGTTTGATGGTCGTTTTAAAATTATGTTTTATTCTAAAATTATCAACATAAAAAAAAAACAACATTGATTATCATCATCTTAATACTAAAAGATTATCAAATATTTAAAAAGCTATGCCGGAAATAATTTCTGTTTTAGTCTATTTATAATTCTTTATTTCTATTTTAAAGCTTAAATTTGTCCATCTTATTTATAGATTAAACGTTTTTTTTTTTTTTTTTTTTTAATAATATAAAAAAGAAAAAAAAGAAGGAATAGAGTATAACAAAACACTAAAAGTGTTGATACATCAGGCAAGTAATATATTTTTAAATAATTTGTAATTGCCTTACAATCTAAAAATATCAATAGTCTGATACATGTATAAAATGATTTATATATATATACAATCTATATTTTATATTTGAATATTTTTACGAGTATACATGTATATAAGCAATTTGTTTATAGGAGGTGATGGTTGATTGCATGCCTATATTGAAATATTTTTTGTAAATATGTATTTAATCAATGTTATCAAGGTGATGCTGGAGCCGCGTCTGTATAACCGACAAAATTACCATTTTCCATGTCATCAACTTGTACATACATGTCCTTGTATAGACAAGGGGATAGCGTCTACATTGCATGCACACATACGCACGAATCGTCATATACACTATATACTCTTATATTAGACTTTTAATCTCGATTTGGACGTTTTTCTTGTTGTGTAATTTAGAGAAACTCGTTTTCACGTTCGTACCAATGGTATATCTCTTGTATGAAATACATCTTGTGACGAGCTGACAGCGCTCGCCGCAACTCGAGACGCCATATTGGGATAAAAGTAGAGGATAAGGAAATTTGTACTTTTGTAATTTTTTCTCGTTTTCTATATAAAATCAGAGTTTCCCCGAATCATTAATACGTATGTACTGCAAATCTGAAAAAAAATTTTTAATTCTGTCAAATTAATACAACGCTACGTGACAACAAAGAAATGTCGGTAAAACAGACAACTCATCCAGCATCACCTTAATATCATCAGATAAAAAAAAATTTCTTGCTTTACTTTTCATCTCATCTTACTTGAAAATATATTATTAGAGACATGGACGTGTAGGTATAATGGACTAAACATTAATTGTCATTGGAGAGCTGTAGACATCCAGAGAGCACAAATATCTAAAAGTAGACTAAAAAATGACAATTTTTCGGCACAAATATCTTTTCGTTAAAGCTCAAGTCGACTAAAAGATGACTCATGTCCTAGCGCACTAAATGTCGTTTTATAGCCAAAACTTGAAAGATGACTAAAAGACATCCGATATTAGACATCTTTTAGTCATCTTTAGCCTAGCCTAAAAGGCTGTAAAAAGACATTTTTTCGTCATCTTTTAGTTTTATGTGCCGTCTGGGAAAGATTTAACCTTTCGTGGTTACAGGGGGTCAGTCGTATGACCCCAAAAATTTTTCAAAGCAAAATTACAAACTCCAAGCGTTGAAACGGGCCTTATGGTGCGGCCATTTATCGAAAATTGACATTTTTTACTTGATTTTCCGACAGTTTGTTGGGCTCGGAGAGAATTGCTTGTTCATTTTTTTTCAAAAATTATCCACTTTGTATTGCACAAATCAAGTATCTTTTTTGAAACGCGCGTACACTGCCGTACTATTTTTTTCCAAAAAGTGTTACATCTCATGCGGGTACAGTTGCAAATTTTTAGCCAAAAATATCAATAATATTAAAGTTGCAAATTTTTAAGTAAAAAGTTATTTTTCATGTACTTAAACTGCGATTATTTACAATATGTTTTTATTAAATAATTAACAAAATTAATATTACGGCAAGTTTTACAACATTTCAAGAAGGTTCAGTAATTTTTAAGTCGAAATAATGAAAACTGTAAAAATGGTGACCGATATATCAAGTCCTTGGGGTCACTTTGACCCCGGTGTGACTATTATGAAACTGTAGACAAGTGTGACCACAAAGGGTTAAAGAACAGAGTTGTATGCTTACTAGGATACTTTCCTTGTCTCCTCACTTTTCCTTCTCCCCACCAATTATACAATTAGACAAGGAAACCATCCCAATAAGCATCTCTGTCCTCAAGAGCTTGCCTACAGCCTAGAGCTCTTTGATCAATAGCAATGTTTAGTCTAATATATACGTCTATGATTATAAATATTAGGTTGGCCATCAAGTCTGTATGGTTTTACATAAATAAAAGACGATTTTTTTTATGGAAGGCAATACTTTTATTCAACGATATATTGGCCAAAGCGCTGCGTCCATTCAAAGAATTCTTAAGGGAACGAAAGAGAGGTGATAATTTGAAGGGTCAAGTCTGGTGAATATGGAGGATGCGGTAAGAGCCCAGCTCCAAGAATTTTTCCCGAGTTTTTAATAATGTGTGTGGCCGCCTGGCGTTGTCGTGATGAAAGACGCGATTCACCAATTCTGGACGCTTCTCGTGGATGACTGCATTTAATTTGTCCAATTGGGCACAATATACATCCAAATTTATCGTCATTGTCGCTGTCGATCTCAACTGCGCGGCTAGCCTGAGCGTGATGCGCTTAAATAAAAAAACCTTTAGAACGAAATCTCGCAAACCACTTTGGCATGTGCGTTCTTTCACGGCATCCTCGCCATACACCGCACATATATCTCTTTACATGTTTGCTCCGTATTATTGCCTTTTATAAAATAAAAAAACAATATGTCAAAAATGTTCATTTCAATTATTAGTCTTTCACAAATGATGCCAATAATACAAAACACATCTAATCGTTTTTTTTTTTTTTTTTTAATATTGCCACGTTGAAATATCGCCTATGCCCGTTCTAGACTGGAGGATGAGCTGACTCTCGGCTCACATCCGAGTGAGTGGTGTAGACGGGTAAAAATCTATAGTTTATGTATAGTTTATGTCACGTACGCTATAGAAGGCGGATGAGCCGAGAGTCGGCTCATCCTCCGCAGTCTAGAACGGGCACTATCAAACAATTATGCGCTTCCAAGATTTCAACTGACGTTAGTCACGCTCAGAGCGCCTAACCCATCTATCGGCAAAAAACCGCACAGACTTATTGGCTTACCCGATATATAAAAGTCATCATTGTTATTCATGTCACATAAGCATTTTTAATTTTTTTTTATTTACATATTACATTTTCATATCTCATCTATTATGCTTTATTTAATATTTACTATTCTATAAACAGTATATTAAATTACTGTAATTATCAGTTTTTTTTAAATTACTAATCAAACAATCTTAAAATGAATTAAAATTTCAAGCTTCTTCACTTTTCCATTTTCTTTTATTTATAAATAAACATTACATCTTTTTACAGGGTTTATAAACCAACTCTTTTGTTTTTCATTTTCTTTAGCATTAATTGCTTGCTCTAGAATCAAGAAAAAGATTGTAATACATTTATTCGCGTAAATAATCTTAAAAGGCTCAAATGATTAAAAATCAAACTTAAAAACCTGTTACGGCACAAAGCCGTAACAAGGTGTTTGTTAAGTTATTTAATAAACAATTAATTTACAAACGTTTTGACCTACATCTGGCGATCCTCAGTGTGATTAACAAAACTTTAACGCAATATAGACACATGAAACGCAATATATACAAATGTTTAACCCTAGAAAGGTAATACGTGGGGTAATACGTTGCCCCACGCGAAATTCAAATTACGCCCCTGACTTGGGAAGGTTAGTTTTCATACCGAGACCCTAACCATAATTTAGTTTAGTCATCCGGCGCAGTCGACCTCCGCGTCATTAAGCGAGTGCGTTAGATCCGTGCAGCAGCTGTGACCGAAAAAGAAAATCGTTTAGAGTAACATAGTACCCCTATACTTAACCGTTTACGTTCGACTTTTATCACAGTAAAATATATTTCAGATTTTTTGTGAAAATTGGTAACAAAAAATTATACACTTTATAGCACTCTTCATTTTTGCTGTTCTTGCACAGCAACTGATTAAAACTTGCAAGTTTTTGTAGAGTAAATTTTACCGTTTCCATATACTTTTACAACTATTGATGACTACCTTTCAAATAAATAATAATCGACAGAATCTGTTTTACTTTCCATTTTTTGCAATTTTTCCCATCCGACACAGTTTTTCGTCATTTCCTCTACTTTAGACGTTCAAAGAATCATGTTTTTTTTTAAGAAACGAAAAAGTCGCTTACATGCACTTGAAGGTTGTGTCTATTCGTCTTTCAAAATCCGTTGGATTTTTTAAAATCGGTGAATTTATGAAAAAATACAACATTTTTTATTAAAAAAGTCATTTCAGCTCAATTTTTGGTTCTTTGTTTTGTTTTACGAAATTTTTTTACCGTTTTTTTTTATTACCGCAAAATTGATGACTACTATATCGACTTTTCTATTAAAGAACAAACAAAATTATCTATTAAAAAGTTGTCCAACAACAAATAGAAACATTATACACGCGGTACAAGTTTGGGGTAATTTAATACTCTGCTTGGCCTTTCGCGTATGAGAAAATTCATATTACCTCTCTAGGGTTAAGGGGATGCTAAAGTGACGGCTAAACTTTTTCAATGTCGATAATGTCAACATTTCTAATTTTGTTTTCCCTACATCTGTCTTTGTCTAATAAAATGACATCTGTCCTTGTTCGATTGCTGCGCCATTTCTCGCTACACGTAATACTATTCATCACATCAACCTAGCTGCATGTGCTTTTACATGTATAAAAGTTGGATATACATACAACTTTTTTTCTGGACTTTTATCCTAGTTTTAATTGCACGATATTCTTCTTAAATGTTTTCCCTAAAGGTGCTGTATAAGCCTGTTTTTTTTTTATGTATAATTATTAGTAGATATTTATTAATTTGGCTTCCTCATAGAGGGAGCAATGTACAGGTTTCTATTTGCACACTCAAAAACTATAAGAAAGCACGGTGCAAGTTTCTACTTGCTCACTTGTAAAGTTTCTACTTACACACTTGAAAATTATGAGAAAGCAATGTACAAGTTTCCACTTGCACACTTATAACTATGAGGAAGCAATGTACTGCAAGTTTCTACTTGCATGCACACTTGAAAACTATGAGGAAGCAATGTGCAAGTTATATATATATATATATATATATATATATATAATGAGATTGTCACCATGACATCCCACACCAAACATCAAAAGAGTTTACCGCTTCAATTATTTTACTCTTTAAATTCCGACTACTATTAGACATCTGTATATTGCGTTCCATGTGTCGATTGCATCAAGGTTTGTTAATCACACTAAAGATGGTTATTAATCAACTTGACACAAACACCCTGTTACGGCTTTTTACATGTCCGGTTTTTGTACATTTATTCAATTTATGTATGTATTTACAATCTTTTTCAGACTAAACGAAAAATTTTTGCAATGTTTAACTTTTTTTTTTGTTCTGTTTACATATACCAGCAGTTTATCAGGATATCCCATCCGAGACTGACATCTTGCTGCAAAAAGTATCGGATAGTTTATCATTGGTATTACCAACTTTATCGTCCTCATCGGTACCAGAACCATCATTACCTCTCGAGACAAGCTATACAACTACATCCGTGCAAACAAATGTTGCTGCAGTTCCCACTGGTCCCGTAATTGAGTTGGAACCTATTGAGACAAAGAACGAGCTCTACAGAACATGTATCGATTTTTCGGTAAAAAATGGGTCGAGTGCTAGCACACCGAATACAACTACAGCAAACTCACAGCAAGATATTTCCGATTACTACGAATCAGCGATGAGCAAAGACTTGTCAATCAGTGACTGGGAGTATCAGCTTCCAGCCCCACCGAGCGCCTTCCGCGATTCGCATTCACCCATCTTCAATGATTACGATGATACAGTAGTCACGCTGGGATCGGTGGAAGCTTTCAAGGAGCCGATCGCGAGTCCAATTGTAGAGCTGACGGATACGATAGATGGTAGCAATAACAACTCCAAATCGACAAAAAATTTATCGAATAATGTTAAAGTGAATTGTAATCAAGAAGCTTTAAACGAAAAAATGGACCTCGTGTCTGAAAAAGAAATCGATATTAAGCAAAAACCAAGCCAGCTTATTGTTAAGCAAGCGCTCATCACTTCTTCACAAAAGTCAGAGACTAATTCGGATTTACGAAAACAGATGCTCTCAGAGCTGGAGAACAAGATAGAAACCGGTACATTGGCACAGATTGTCAATAAAGATTTTGATCGAAGAAATATAGACGGCTTATCCGCACCGGAGCTGGCACCCGTGGACAACACTCTATCCAACTTTACTATTACTACTTACACCAGACAAAAGAGTTTGGATATTTTCAAAGAGCTCGAGGAATCCATCGATTGTACAAGAAATTCGAAAGACAAGTTTATCAAAACATTTGCCATGTTATCAAGAACCAACACGGGTGCGTGTAATTATGACAAGAGGAATGCTACAAAAAACACATATTTAATTAATAATCTATCGCACAGCAGGAAAGCAACAAATAAATCCAAACAACTGAATGCAAATAACGTCGACTATAAAATAGAACCAAAGATTCGTGACCAGCAGGGTGAACTGCATTACAAGTGGCAGTCTTTCAACGCGACCAATGATAAGACTAATATCCAGCGATCCAAGAGTTACATATCGATGACTAATAACACCAAGTATCAGAAAGAAGCACAAGGAATCGATGACACGAGGAAACACGAGGAGCCACAAATTGAATCAGAGATTACTGGTATGAAGAAATCTACGAGCATTACTGATTTGAATGTTGAAACATTAAGAGACAATTGCGTGAAATTCTCACAATGGAGAATAAACATACTGAAGAATCAGGAGGAACCTACCAAAGAGGAGCAATTACAATCGTTGCAGGTAATTTAGAATTATAAAATGACGATTGTAGGCTATAATAGAAAAAGTGCGGGTATTGTGCGGGATACCCTGAACCTTTTTTAAGATAACTTGAAAATTTGGAGAATTGTCTCTATTGTCGCGCCCTTCGTCTTAATTCCGCTTCTACGATATCAAGTCTGTTACGTGTTGTATTCTCTCGGTAAGCAGTGGAAATAAACGCTCCTTTAAACGTTCTTTTGTTTTACTTTGGTCAAAACTGCGTGATATAATGCGTAGCATAGTTTGGATGAGGTTTCAAGTTTTTCAAGAATAGTCTTGCAGTACAGCAAAAAGAGTATGCACATACCAAAAACATACCGATTTCTGTCATAAGAACATGTGATATATTGTGTAAGGTTTTTGATATAAAACAGCTTTATTGTCAGGATAGCAATATATATTCAAATGTTAATTACAGTGTCTCCGGTGATATTCGCCGATATGTCGCTTCAATAACTACTCAGTCTCAATATATATGCACAAATACTCACAAGGGAACGGTCGAAAGTGTCCCTATCCGATTTGGATATGCGCTTTGAATATGTTGTAGAGCATCAAAAAACATTAAACATGTATTTTTTTTTAGTTGCGTATCTCGACGTTTAGGGGTTGAAACAACCCCTGCTTGAATGTAACGGATTTTATAGCTTTTAGCAATCATCTTTGAAAATATAAGGCGCGTAACGACAAAACATTTGTAGGAAATGTTTATGGCTTTTTGTGCTCGCTTTACAATGGCGTAATCAGATTTTTTTAAATTTGTCATCATTTTTTAATTTAACCCCACCCTCACCTATTATTTTTGTCAAATTCAACAATTTTTCCAACGCAAATTTAAGAGCGTCAAATGCCAAATACATCCATGTATATTTTTATTATGATACCATTATTAGACTTTTGGCAAGACGAGATGATGTGTGGTATAGACGTTGCACTGCCCGCCCAATCTTACAATTCGGCGGTATTTATTATAATGTCAGAGTCGACATTCCCCGTTGCTAGTCCAGGACTCTCGAAATAACGTTAACCTCTCGCTGTCAGTGCCTTGCGCTGGCCTTTGCATCAGCGTTTTCGGTCATCCCAGAGTTGAAATGGAAATTTTTAAGCGTACGGCGCAACTAAACAGAAATAACGCAACACCTACCTACAGCGCGACGCCTATACGCCACACATCATCTCCTCTTGCCAAAAATCTAATAATGGGATCATAATAAAAATATACATGGATGTATTTGGCATTTGACGCTCTTAAGGGGGTATGACACCTTTGAGCATGAAATTTAACCTCTTTTTCACGATTTTTTTCCAACATGTAAGAAATAGAGCAATCGAAAATCGGCTTTAAGGGGTCTTTTTATTATACAT